ACACAACATGTGACCCACTGGTGACACGGCTTGGCCCGGCCTTTGGCTTGTTCCAATACTGCAGCTCATCTTCCTGAGAAGGGATTCATGGGGCTCTATAGGGCTATAGGGTTTGGGGAAAAGAATCGGCATCTCGGTCGGGCGAGTTGCGACCCAGGCAATGTGGGCCTGGCCATCCTTTGCCCTCTGCTCCGCAATCTCACCCATCTGCGTGCAATACATGGGTGCATGGGCTCGTGAAGTTAGGAAATGCATGGTGATCACAGAAAGCACAACATGCATGTGTACACACATGTATGCATGCAATGTAAATTATATAAATATATGTATATACATATAAAGTGTTTTGTGAGTATATGTATAACTAAATAAGTAAGAGTTAACACATATATCTATGTATAAATATATTTATTGATTTTCTTTATATGTGTGTGCCTTATACATCGAGCGGCTCGCTGGAAATCATCTCCCAAATCTTGAATGTCTTTCAGCAGGGCCTTTGCCGTTGCATCATCCTTTTCAGCGGCGGCCTCGGTTTGGTAGCACACGAACATTTGTAGGGTGTTGGGTTTACAAAGGATTATAGGGCTACAGGGTTTAGGTCGCCTCGATTTGGGATCATAGGAACAATCGTAGGGTGTTGGGTTTACAATTACACGGTTTAAGGGTTCATGGGGTTTAGGGTTTGGGTTTTCGGGAGGATCCCACCTCGTCCCAGCCCGACAAAGCTTCAGCTTGGTTCCACCATGCGGCCTGGCAAGGGGGCATGCATGCGTGAAATTGTCGGTCGGCGACAATCCCATCGATCCACCTCGCATGGCTCTTCCTTCACGGATCCGCTGCCCTCGGCACAGTACGATTGGCTCTTATACGGATTATAGTGCACAACCTTTACAGACAGCAAGCCTTACCATCATCGGCCGGCCAGGCTTCCTTCTCCTGTTTGGCGAACGGGAAGACAGTGGCAAGATTGCGAGTGTCACGAGAAACAACGAAGTTTAGTTTAGGCTTATGGGTGTAAGGGTTTAGGGGTTGAGGGTTGCAAGCCTCGACATCCCAGCATTCCTGGGCGTCTTCGATCTGTGGCTCATTGCCCTCGGCCAACATGGCGAGTTTATTTGTTGTCTAATCGAAGCAAGGAAGCATCACAATCGACGACAGAGGCAAGCCTTCTGGATCCGGCAATCGAGGTCGTCGATCTTTGGCTCGCTGCCCGGGTCCTCGGGGAAACACAAGTAACAATAAAGCTTCAGCTTGCTCCTCTGCCCACCATTCCGCCTGGTGGTCTTCGATCTTTGGCTCTTTACCCGGGTCCTCGGAATTATTATTGCGGGAAACACAAGTAACAATAAAGCTTCAGCTTGCTCCTCTGCCCACCATTCGTCCTGGTGGTCTTCGATCTTTGGCTCACCCGGCTCCTCGGAATTATTATTGTGGGAAACACAAGTAACAATAAAGCTTCAGCTTGCTCCTCTGCCCGCCATTCGTCCTGGTGGTCTTCGATCTTTGGCTCACCCGGCTCCTCGGAATTATTATTGTGGGAAAGACAAGTAACAATGAAGCTTCAGCTTGCTCCTCTGCCCACCATTCCTCCTGGTGGCCTTCGATCTTTGGCTCCTTGCCCGGGTACTCGGAATTATTATTGTGGGGTACACAAGCAACAATGAAGCTTCACAGCAAGCCTCGTCAGCCCAGCATTCCTCCTCGGGGTCTTCGATCTTTGGCTCCTTGTCGTCCTCGGGTGATATACTAGAAACAACGAAGCTTGGCAACATCATCAATAACAACCTCACTTGCAAGCCTCCTCCCAGCATTCCTCATGGTCTTCGATCTTCTCTGACTCGTTGTCCTTGGCCAACTTAGAAGAAACAACGAAGCTGCAGAAGAACACCACCACCACCAGCAACAACAACACTAACACCAACACACCAACACTTCCAAGCCTCCTCCCAGCTTTCCTGCTGGTCTTCCCTCTTTGTCTCGTCGCCCTCGACCCTCTCCTTAGCATCACGGTTGAAACGTGTATTTGGAATCCACACAAGCGACAACAATTGGATGCATACGAAATTCATCATCTGGCCACTCTGCTTCGCCAATGCCATACCCCTGAGTGCGAGATCATAGGCTCAGAACTACAACCGTCAATCTGCATTAATGATCGATGCGTATCCAAGGGTCTGCATCTTCTCTCTTTCCATTGTCCTGTGCGAACCGAAAGAAGCAACGAGTTTACTTAAGGTTTAATTTTCAGGTTTTGGGGTTTAGGGTTTAGTTTTTGTTTAAGCAAAAGGCTTTGGTAAAGCATCAGTGTCCTCCACCGGATCCTCGGCCCCATTTCCACTCGCCTCAAATCACGATCTCGTCAATAATTTAGAGAAAGCACCCCAACAAAACCCCCCACCAGCCTCATCCTTCGCCCACTCCGAAGGGCACTTCGGATCCTCACCATGGGGCACCCAAATCCCCGCACCACAGCTTAAGCTATATACATGAATCAAGCGAGAAGCGAAACGGATGTTGTCCTCCACCGGATCCTCGGCCCCATTTCCAGTCGCCTCAAATCACGATCTCGTCAATAATTTAGAGAAAGCACCTCAACAAAACAAACGACCCCACCAGCCTCATCCTTAATCGCCCACTCCGAAGGGCACTTCGGATCCTCACCATGGGGCACCCAAATCCCCGCACCACAGCTTAAGCTATACACATGAATCAAGCGAGAAGCGAAACGGATCTTGTCGTGCTGGGCATCCTTCGGTGCCTGTGGCCGACATGAATGTATATATATATATATATCTACATACGAGGTAGAATGGTATATAGTTCTAACTCAGACCCAACCTCGGCACCAGCACTTTCCTCAAGGACTTGGGCAAGGTGTGCCTGGCAACAGTATATATATATATATATACACATCGACTGTTTCTTAGTGAATACAGTACGGTTTCGGGTTTAATGTTCAGGGTTATGCATATCTGCAGGGCGAAGAAAACCGATCCCTGCACTGCCGATCCGGATTGGCCTCCTCCTCCGGGGTCCAACCATTGCCGCGATCATGGCCATCATCAGCCAGGGCCTGCGAGTCATCGGCTTTAGAAACAATTATAATCGGCAAACTCACAATGCTCCCAACGATCCCTGGTGATCACAATGGTTCCTGGTCGCTCGAAGAGATCGACATCGGATTGATCCATTCACCATCCTTCCAGACCCATTCCTCGGATGCAAGGTTTGGGGTTTGGGTTTGGGGTTTCGGGTTTATACTTTAATGGGACTCGATGCCTCAATGATGCTTCGAAGAGAGTGCCCAAGAAGCCATGCGTGGGATCATTAATGTATAATTCCATTCCAAGAATAAGAAGCCATGGGATCAGCCATATCAGCAGCATTCCATTCGTCTGGATCCTTGGCACTGAAAACACACAATGTGTATGCAAGCCTTGGCAAAGCACAAACCATTGAAATCACTGCCCCGGCCTCTTCACCACCATGTGAAGCCGGCTCCTGCGTACAACAAACCACGCGAACCCAGAACCGAAGCGCAAGAATTCCATGTCGCTCCTCCCGGATCCAACCGTAGTCTTCCTTCCACACCCATCCCTTGTTCGGATCCTCGGATGCATGGTTGCAACTCTGGACCGACTCATGCAACCCTATATGCACACAAGAACTCACAAGCCGAAGTATCCATGGCGCTTTTGCAATTCTGTTCCTCTTCCTCGGTTGCACTTAAAGCAAATCCCTCGCCCAGGAAAAAACCCTCGCACTCAAGAATGATGGATCGAAGAAGCCACTTCGCTCGGAGGGGTCTTCGACCGAATTCGAAGCCGCTTGCTGGGCTTGATCTCAGAAAACTTAGATCCATGCGAATGATCGATGCAACGACTATATATACATATATATATAGACTGCGATTCCAAGCCACATCGTCACCGGAGATCTGACTCGAAGATTTTCGCTTCAAAAGCTGCGAATCCTCGGGTCGTGGATGCATGCGAATATTTGGGAAACACACCCACACACAGGCACACAATTATATAATTAGACACACATGCAGTCCTCATCTTCCTCCAGGGCCCATGGTTGCGTCTCCATGTTGTCCATGGCACAGTAAGATCTCCTAGCCTTCTGAAGTAGGGCCAATAGCGCCTTGGAGGTGTCCTTTATCCAAGACCGTTTATTGTGCCCCGGAGTTGTCGGGATCTCCAGTTGGTAGTCGTCAAGAAGCTGGGTGCAAGCATGGGTGGTGACTCGCTCGGTCAGGAGGCGACCGTCATATTGACACCGAAAATCCTTCATGAAGGAGAATTGTTGTCGAGTGGCTGCGTGTCGCAAAGTAGAGGTAGCAAACAAAGAACCGGTTTTCCGAACGTAATCTAGGTCCAGACCATGGTAGATGTGCTCCGTAAGCTCCTTCACCCGTTTCTGACGGTCTGCCATGGCTGCACTTGCAAGATCCTATAGTCTCTTATAGATCGATGTGAAGACAGGTGCACACCTTCTGCATGCATGCATGCGTGAGCATGTAGCGACCGGCCCATGCTTCGATCTCAAAAACCTGCGATTTCCGGAGGTTTTATAATCTGCAGTGAACTGGCATGACAGCAACTGATCTTGCACTTCTCTCGCGGAGCTCTGCACAACGACCCACCGACACACGTGCACACACACACGGCACACACTTGTATATATATATATATATATACATATATATATATATATATATATATATATATATATATCACATGCTTGTAGATGTATATATACGCCTGTCAGATAAATACAACCCTACTCAAAAAATACTGTTGCCAACGATATGCATGTCCACATGTGCGGCATATTGTGCGGCATGGCCATGAAATTTTCATGAAGCAGTAGTTAATCCAGCAAAAAAAACATAGTTCCATGCATTTGATCCAAAAAATATGATCCTGCTTTGCAACGTTGCTCGATCTCGTGCAACATATGTTCAACAAATGCAATGCACCTTACGACCACGAATGGCCAAAATCCATGGTCAGCAAATAAGAGTCATTGAGCCAATAAGAGTCATTGGGCCATTAAGATACATTGGGCCCGTGGTGGCAAGCCGGAGTACGCCGGCCCCATCTACCGCAAGCTTGGCTACTCGGAGAGCCACATCAAAGGCCTCGGCTTGGGGGACATGGACTCCTCAGCTGCCTTTGGCGCTGAAAGGATTCCTCTGGACCCCGGGTCGGAGCAGGAGCGCTCCCTCCCGCCCATCACTCCAGACAACGTTTCGAGTGTGGCCTCGGACGACTACAAGAGGAAGAACGTGGGAGACAAGACTGCCCACGCGTGTTCTGGGCCAAGATGGAGTGTGGCCTGGTCCTCAGCTCCGTTTCCACGTGGGAGATTGTTGACAAGAAGAAGGGTGAGACTCGTGGGGGCTACGTTTGCCGCCACTGTAAAGGATTCTGGCGAAGTGGCAGAGGGGCCAGCCGTTTCCTTGTCATCACGGGGGAGCACAAAGGGAAGTCTGCTCAGCTCCAGCTCATCCTGGATGAGCCCCCCCAGCACCTCTACGAGGCCTGGGTGAAGGACCGGATCGAGTTCTACAAGAGGGTGGAGCCCACGGCGGCCCCTCGCGATCGCTCCCTCCGAGTCAACCCCAGCCTCAGCTCCAGGCTCCGGTTCAGGAAGACGAACCTCATGGGCCAGGTCTCCGACATGATCTGGTCGGTGGTGCTCTCTAACCCGGAGCGGGATGGCCTCAAGAAGATCCACGAGCTTGCGGCATCCCGGGTCCGCCCGGCCTGAGCCCGGCCCCTTTTTGAAGAAGGCGTGTGGAGGGGGGAACCCCTGCCAGGTGCCTATGGCCCTGAAGGGGGTTTCCTCTCCCTTCTGGTTGCTGTAACTTTTCTTTGAAGGTCCTTGTGCCTTTGGCCCTGAGGTGATCGGTATTAGTGCGTGTACTTACATTGCTCAGGACTCGGGCCATGTCACAGGCCTTTTCTTCGGCAAGAGGATTACCCATTGGGGGAGGGGGAGGGACTTCCAGGTGCCTTTGGCCCTGATGGTTCCCCCCTTTTCCTCAAAAAGGGGAATGACTACTTGCTCGACCTGCCGGCCTACAGACCATCGCCTCGTGCGAAAACAAGGGCTCTTGGATTGCATTGGGCTGTCCCTCTCTCTCTCTCTCTCTCTCTCTCTCTCTCTCTCTCTCTCTCTCTCTCTCTCTCTCTCTCTCTCTCTCTCTCTCTCTCTCTCTCTCTCTCTCTCTCCTCTCTCTCTTCTCTCTCTCTCCTCTCTCTCTCTCTCTCTCTCTCTCTCTCTTCCTCTCTCTCTCTCCTCTCTCTCTCTCTCTCTCTCTCTCTCTCTCTCTCTCTCTCTCTCTCTCTCTCTCTCTCTCTCTCTCTCTCTCTCTCTCTCTCTCTCTCTCTCTCTCTCTCTCTCTCTCTCTCTCTCTCTCTCCCGTAGTCTCCTCGGCTCAGGATGACTGCTTTTGTATTTTGCTGCCCGTCCCCTTTTGGGCGGGCCCTGGTTAGGTCCCCGGACCCTCTCATCTCTGCTCTCTTCGAGCAAAGCATAGGCCCCCTTCAGTCTGATGGCGAGGTTCTCGCAGAGGAGGAACAAGTGGACGTGGCGCGGCCCTGGGGGCAAGCAATCGTGGATTTTATGGCCCGTTGTAGGCCTACTCAGGACTTGGACCGTGTACTTGGTGTCCCCGGAGGGCCGCCCGACCTTTAGTCCTCTCATACCGCCCTACCCTGGTCTTCCAGTTGATTGTGGAAAGGGCTCTCTTTCTATCTGCAGGCCTCACGGGGGAGGAGGATGTCGCATTGCTCCTCACCTGCCTTTGGGACCTTTGCACTAAGGTCGCTGCAGGCATTCCTTCTCACCTGTTTTCAGAAGTGGTCCAACGAAGGGCAGAGCGAGATCGCCTCGAATGGCGCGAACTATGTGAAGGGGTCTTGGTTGCCCCTTGTACGGTGAGCCGGTGCCGACATTGCAAGCCGGGAAATGTATCCGAACACCATTCTACCAACCAGCGGGCCCTGGAACGTGGCCTGCGTGAGAAGTGGGGGGAAAGGCTCCTCTCGTACCTCCTCCCGGCTGCAGGGCGAATCCCGCATATGGCGGCCATAATGCCCTCGGGTACCACGCTCATCTCTCTTGAGCTCAAGGGGGAGTTCATGGATCTCTTAGGAGATGCTAGGTTCCGCACCCTCAGGATGCGATGCCTCTCCTATGAAGAGCTCAGGCGCCTTGGATTCACGGCCATACCCTGGAAGGAACAGGATGTTCGTTCTCTCCTCAACACTCTCCGGGATCAGGAGGTGTCCCCTCACAAGCTTCAGCAGGTGTGGGACACTCTCAAGTGGTTTGGTAAAAAGTTCGGCCTCCTTGCGGTCGACGAGGTCTTTCGGCTCACTGAGAAGAAGAAAGCCCTCTCGGAGTCCTTAGTTAGCACGGTGCACCGTCCGATGCGGAAAGCTCAGGTCCCTTCCAAGTCCTTTGTGGTTCAGGCGGAAGAGGTTGCGGCTCGCCCGCTCTCTAGCTCGGCCACAAGAATCGAGCTCATGGATGCCTTCATCTGCGGCATTGCAAGGTTCCAACTCGGTTCCAGTGCCCGCTTTATTCGGCAGTGGCGATTCACAAGAAGCCGGTCCCCCTCATCTGCCCCAAGTACTCCTTCTCGGGCAAGGACTGGTGGACTCCTCTCCTCTCCACTTGGCGCAAGCTGGCGGCGACCCCCATGTTTGATGCCATGGACTACCTCATCCCGACAGTTGGTAAGGATTATGACGGTTTCATCGCCAGACCCGCCACCTCGCAGCGCGCTCTGAGTTGGCTGCGCTCGGCCATGTCCAGACAGGAAATCGACAAGGCCCTGTGGGAGGGCCTCACCTGGCACTCCTTCCGTGTGTTCATGCCGGACTGCGCCTTTCAAGCCCACGTCCCTCGTGATCAACGGCAGTACCTTGGAAACTGGGTGGCTGAGAGTACTGCGGATGTCTACACCCGGGGGAAGAGGAATGTGGTCTGCGCCATCTGGGAAAAGGTCACCTCTGCAGCGGTTGGGCTCCCAGTCGCCCAAGGGCCTCTCACTCCAGTGGCTACTAAGGCGGCCCGAGGCAACAGAAAGCGGATCCATCTCCTGAACCAGGACCTCCGGGCTGTGGGCTGCGGCTGGAGCCCTTCCATGGACAAGGTGGAGGCCCTGAACGCCATCGACTACCAGGGCGACGTGGATTCTTACAACCTGTGTGCTAGATGCTTCCTTCAGTTCTCCTTGCCGGCAGAGTTTCGAGTGGAAGATGCTCCTTTTGCGGGAGATTCCAGTGAATCAGCCTCCTCAGGTAGCCTGACTGATGACTCAGTGGACACGGCCTCGGAGGCAGAGAAGGTCACCTACCAGGACCTGGACAAGGCTCTGGCCTCCCAAGGCCAGCCTTAGATGGACGACATCTTTCAGTTTTGGGGGTTCATTTGTGCCGCCCATCCTTCGGCTTCGGCTTCTTTCTGGACGGCACAAAATTTTGGGACTCTTTTCTGTACAAGGAGGGTTCCCGATCCCCAGGTGCCGTAGGCCCTGAAGGAGGGGACCCTCCTCTGTTTCGAAACGGCCTCTTTCTAGACTGAGGTCTTCGACCGAAGGAACATCCCGGGAGTCGGCAGCCACACCAATCCACCATGCAAAAGAGGGCTTGTGAGCATGGTGCTTTTGGTGTGCCATTTTCATGCGGATTTCTGACATTAGTTACTTGCTACCAAGGCTTGCCGACTTGCAAGACTTATGTCAGGAGACGTCTGCCAAAATGGCTCTGCCATTTTGGCCCAAGATTGTGGACCTTGGGTCCTTCAAAATTTGTTACCCGCCCGCCCTTCCCGATGGCTGCTGCGATTACTCTAGCCAAACCCCCTGAGGCCATTCCGGATGCTTACGCTGACAACATTGCAGAGCTCCACCCGTCTGTGGCCACTCTGTTTGCAAGGAAGCAGATCCCCTACTCGGTCCAGGCAACACTGGCCAGGGAGGGTTACATAACTCTGGAGGACATCGCCGACCGCTGGGACGATGCGTCGGCTGCCCGAACCAATGGCCCCAGGGACCTAGGCTTTGCTAGTGGCGCCAATGGTTTCACAGATCAAAGCAGCGCTTTCACTGCCATGCGCCTCTTTCAGGCAATCAAAGCGGCTAAAGAACCTCTATGCACCTCGCTCCAGTGACTGGCCAGGCCTCTACGGATCGCTCAGGCCTCGAAGTGCTGTGTGACCGGCACCAGCTCCTTTCGGATTGGACTAAGGAGACGGGACTCCCGAAGCCCAAACTCGAAGCCCAGGGGAGCGACAACCTTCTCAAGGCTCAGTTTCGCTTCTGCTCCAAAGGGGAACTCGGCTTCATCAATGCGAAATACATCATCAGTGCCTTGCCAGAGCTTGAAGAGAAGCCGTTTAAGACAAGGCGGAAAGTGACGGTAGACGGCTGGGACAAAGAAGAAGAGGAAGAGGAGCGCAAGCTCCCGACCACCAGGAGACACCTGGAAAGGATGCACCGCGTTTTCCGCAACAATCTCTCGATGTGCCTCCTTGCTTTCCCCCAGTTCTCTCAGTTTGACGCCTCGAAGCATGATCTTGATGATTGGTACGACTGGTTCTGGGGCCCGGACATCGCGGGACGAACCCCAGCTCCGTCGGAAAAGACTCTCCTCTATGCCGAACGGAACGCATGGAGAGCCATCCACAACCTGGTTTATGAGGGCAAGTCGCTCAAGGAGGCCATGATGGAAGTCCGTGCGGATGCCCTCTTTTGGACGAGGGAAGTCTATGAGCGTGAAGGGCACTCCGAAAGGGGAGAAAGGCACCCCCTTCGCCAAGGGTCCGGGCAAGGGCCCATGGAAAGGCAAGCAAGCCTGGTCGGTGTTCTCTCTCGGGCCTTGGATTGAGAAACATTACCCGGGCTCTCTGCCTGCAAACTGTTCTCCTGAATGGCTTAATGGAGTCCCTGACCGCCTGGTCCAGAGACTCCATTGGTCTCCTTCCGAGTGCACTGCCAGCATTCCTCAGGGTGCCATCATTTTGCCATTCGCGGGTCGGGAGGATGCTTCATCTCTGGAAGCGATCCTCCATGCTCAAGCCCCCGAACTCTCCTCGCGAGTTCTGGCATTTGATTCCTCTGGGAAACCCTCTGGTAAGGACCTCCTTAACGACACCCTGTTTGGGTCTCTCTGTGCTTCGGCTCTGCAAGGAAACATCTCCTTTGTGGGAGGATGTCCGGATCTCAAAACCTGGGGTTTGGATAGATGGTTTCAGGACTCGGGTACTTTCCACGCAGTTAGGGCCCGCTCTGCAGAGAATGCCTGGGGCATTGCTGCTCTTCCTGAGGCGACACTCCACTCAGCGGATGAGGAAAGCACCCTGCTCCTTAGGTTCCTTCTGCTTGTATGGCTCGCCTTCAAGGCGACCTTGCCCAGTGCTGCTCCTAAGGTCTTCTGCTTCCTGGAGATGGCTGAGGATCCAGCTCGAGGAGCCATTTCCCCATCCAAGAGACGCTCCTCTTCGGCCTGGGCCACTCCGGCCCTGCGTGCTTGGACCTTAGATCTAGGCCTTGAGGTTCTGCACTTCGACCTTTGTTCCTTTGGTTGGGTTATTAGTCGTCCCTCTAGAGCGGTCACGAACCTTCCCCTCCAATCCTGGGAGGGGAGGATCTGCACACACACTCATCACCTCAAACCGGATCGTCCCGTGCCTGGGGACGCTCGACGACCTGAAGCCATGCTACAGAGTATCGCATCGGCGTTGGCCGAAAGTCTTCG